CTTACATGATGTCATCAACAACCACAAAAAAAAATCATTACAACATTTTCGTCTGAAAATGCTGTACGTTTTTATTACATGTATTAAAAGACATGTTATTACTACATGTTCAAAACTATCGTTTTATATTTACATTATTTAAAGCAAATTCAAGTTTTTACAATTATGTTTATGATTAAAAAAGAGTGAAATATTTTTTAGTTTTATAAATAGGAGCTTCGATATTTTATCTTAATGAAATGTATTGAAGACACTTGCCTTGCAAAAAAAAAATTAAAGTAATTTAAAGTTCCATTTATTTTTGTTATTGAGGTTACTATATTTTATTCGTGCATAGCTACTTATTTTCAGCTTTTACAATCATGTTTATGTTTAAAAAAATGTATTAATTTATGAAGTATTGTTAATTTATACAATTAAAGTATAATCTTGTGATTTAAATAAATTGAACAATTTAAATACCAAGTGCATTTTTATTTAATTCTACAACCAACAACTCCTACAATAATAGATACTTGGTTTTAATCTAAATTCAGTGTACTTAATATTTAGAACTTTCATATTTACTAGAAAGAAAGTGAATTATTAATGGTAAAATGTTAATCTTTCGAATTGAAAATATTTTTTCTTTGAAGTAAATGAAAATTCATATTAACATTAAATAGTGTTTCATTTAATTTTAATTTATCTACTTATCAACTTTAAAGATTTCTTTATTTAATTCAGTTAACTAAGTTTTAAGTGTAAATCATCGAGATACATATACTTTACTGGAGTGCGTGCTCACGATATTCGCTTGGTCGAGAAAACGGTCCGGCTCGCCAGCATGTTCCCCACTCTATAACGGCAAGAAATACAAATAGTACTAACTAATGGATGATTCTGCATGAATTTATTCAATATTTACTAAATAATTCAAATAATGTTATTCAATAATGATGAAAAATACCAAATAATATATATTTAAGTTATTATAGTTTAAGAAATAAATAAAAAACACTTCAAAGCTTGTTTTTCTTTGGATTATTTATTAGAAATATAACATAGATATATTTAAATTATACATTATTAAATAATATTAATTTAGTTAGTTTTTGGCGAACAGAAGAATTATTCTTTAGAACATTTTGTAAATTAAATTGTTTTCCATAATGATTAGCTCTTATGTTTATAAAATGTTGGGCTATTAAATGGAACAAAGTATATTCATGCGATGGTGTTCCGAATTCAACATTTATCGGATGCATGTTTGGGAAGAAAAATAATGAATGCTTATCACAAATATTTTCTTTGGCGCATTTAATAACGTTGGATTTGACATTCTTTAAATGGTGCTCTTTAAGCACCACAGCTTGGAACGATTTTTCGAGCAATAGACTGCATTGGATGGTAAAATTAAATTGCCTCTATTCACATGTCGCGTGAAGTTTTCTTTTGCATAATTATGGTGACTGTCATTTTTTAATATCAATAGGTCAATACAAAATTGACAATTTATATTATTTATAATATTTTTTACAATATATCCACTTATATAATGTAAAATATCCTGTACATACAGGCATAAATTAATACTTTCAGTAAGTCCAACATATTTCATAATTTCTTCGTCTTCTGATTGCTCATTTTCATTTTGCAAAGATCTTTTTTCAGATTTAAATTGCAGACAATCATAATTGTCAAAAGTACAACAATTCCCAGTTTCAATCGCAATATTCTTGGTGAAAAGCAATTGTCTGAGACAATTTTTGAACTGTAAACAGTTGGGATTGTTGTTTGAACCACCTCTGGCACGAACACAACTAAAAAATAATTCAAGATGGTCCTGTGACATTTTATAAGTGAGAATATATTTTAAAGGATTCTCTTCCCTATATAATACTTTATATGCGATGTCTAAAGTACTCTGCATGTTCACAATAAATCCTATTGCAAACATTTTCCTTCCGCTTAGAAAGATAGGAATATTGTCTAATTTTAAAGTTTTTATATAATTAGTTGTCTCTGAAAAGACGGCTTTAATAGTATTAATGTTTGAAGCACGTATTGACTTCTTGAAACCACTAGCAAAGGGATTACGAGAATTGAGAATGTCAAAAAGACGATCTATATTTCTAATAAAATGAATTGTAGCTTCGCTGTTTTGGAACTGTTGGTCCCCATTTTTCCGTAAATAGTCCATGGCATCAGCCACTCCACTACTCAAAGTCTGAGCTGCCAATTTCACCTTCATGATACTATTTCTGAAATTAACATGTCGAGAAGTTAGTTTATTAGCAAATCTCAATCCAATACTATTTTGCAAATCATTTAAGGCATTTACGAAATACCATTGCACATCTCCGGTTGCAGATTTAATAATTTTTTTATCAGCTAGAGTATTTCGGGCAAGCTTAAGCATATGACATGCATCAAACATTACATTAACTTCTAAAGAAGTACAGGTGGTAAATTTATAATTAAACCTATTACTGTTTATATTGTGATTATCCATGTTGCAAGGTAATTAAGTTTAAAGAAAAATAAAATTAGTAACCTCTTACTTGCAATTTATTGTTATTTTACTTCGATACTAGTTTCGAGGTGTTACCTCATCTTCAGTCGAAACTACAAATTTTGAAAAAATTCTTTTTTATAAAAATAGAAACACGAAAAAATTTCTTAAAAATAAAACTTACAATCAAAATTTAGAGTTGTACACGAGCGAGAAAAAATCCGATATAGAAAAATATTAAAGATGTGAACATGTTGAAAAACTTTTTTAAAAATATGCGTAATAAAATTTTTGAAGGTCAAACGGGATAAAAATGGTTGAAGACCGGTAACTGAATAAGAGGTTAAATCTAAAAATAACTAATTAATAACAAATATAATAAAACTTACGTTTGTTACTTTTATTACATTTGTGTAAAAGTTTAATATCTTTGTAATTGATGTTATGTCCTGTTTCAATATGATGTTTGTATATGTTGAAATTAGTTTTATTTTTATGCTCGCGAACACGTGCCCCAAGCGCACGTCCCGTCTGGCCAACATATATGGCACACAATTAGAGCAACTAATTGAATACACACCGCTTTCCTTTAAAATATCAACATTTTTAGGTTTATGATTAGAAAGAAGATTCATGATAGTATTACTATTAGAGTAAGCAAGGGAAATATTGTACTTAGAAAAGATATGACGGGCCCGGGAAGTGATGTGATTGTATGTTATAGGTTTATAAATAGTGTTAATTTTATTGTTAGTGTGGAGGGGGTCTCTTTGTTGTCTCTTCATCTAAAGGGGCTGGATTTGTGATCCTCGATAGAGAAATTTATAATCAAAAAACTTACGATTTTCTAAATAACAATAATTATGAAAAATTGAAAAACAATCCTTTAGAGAAAATAATGTCATTAACAACTGTAAGGAGACTCTAGTTGAATACACCCCGCATCTCAATAATTCCAAATATTTTTCTACATCATTTTTCTTGAACATGAACCCTAGTATTCCAAAACTTTATTCACTCCCTAAATTACATAAGATTGACATGCCCATCAGGCCCATAACAGCTTTTAATAATTCCCCCACTCAGAAACTTGCTAATTTTATGCTTAAAATTTTTCAGAAAATTAATTTCACCCCCAATTTTATCGTACGTAATTCCACTCAATTTATTAATTCTATCAAAGATATCAGAATTCAGAATGGTATTATGATTTCGTTCGACGTGACTAACCTTTACTCTAATGTCCCCATAGACATTACCTTAGATATAACAGCAAAACTTTTTAGAGACTTTTTTAAAAATAAAATTACAACTATTGATCATCTTAACACAATCTTAAAACACATTGTTACTCAAAACTACTGTTCTTTTAATGAAGATTTTTATTTCGTTTCTGAGGGATTGCCTATGGGAATGCCACTGTCAGGTATTTTAGCTGACATTTTTTTGAATCATATTGAAAACACTTTCATCATGAATAATATTAACCCTTACTTTAAATATGTTACTAAATGGCTACGTTACGTCGACGATGTATTTTGTTTGTGGACGGGAAGTGATGAAGATTTAATATGTTTTCTTGATTATCTTAACAATTTACATAACAATTTAAATTTTACCCTCGAAATCGAGAAAAATAAACAATTAAATTTTTTAGATCTAAGTTTGCATAGAAATAATAACAACTCCATAGATTTTGATATTTACAGAAAGCCTTCAGCGATACCAACCACAATACCCTACGATTCTGAACACCCCTTAACCCATAAGCTAGCTAACTTCCGTTTTCTTTTTAATAGAGTTTTCAATTATCCCCTTTCCGAAACTAATAGATTAACTGAAATAAACTACATTTATACTTTGGCACACAATAATAATTTCCCTAAATATATCATAGATAAACTTTTTTATAAAATTCAACAACAAAGAGACCCCCTCCACACTAACAATAAAATTAACACTATTTATAAACCTATAACATACAATCACATCACTTCCCGGGCCCGTCATATCTTTTCTAAGTACAATATTTCCCTTGCTTACTCTAATAGTAATACTATCATGAATCTTCTTTCTAATCATAAACCTAAAAATGTTGATATTTTAAAGGAAAGCGGTGTGTATTCAATTAGTTGCTCTAATTGTAATGCCATATATGTTGGCCAGACGGGACGTGCGCTTGGGGCACGTGTTCGCGAGCATAAAAATAAAACTAATTCCAACATATACAAACATCATATTGAAACAGGACATAACATCAATTACAAAGATATTAAACTTTTACAGAAATGTAATAAAAGTAACAAACTTGATCTTCTTGAAATTCTCGAAATTATTAAACATAAAAATAATAATGAATTTGTCCTTCTTAATGATCAACTTCAATTAAGTCATAAACCAATTTTTTCATTTTTAAAAGATTTTGAACTTAAATGCTGATTTCCTCCCCCCCCTCGCTCGCGAACACGTTTCCCGACCCACGTTTCCTTCTCCGTTGGTCGTTTGAGTCGTTTTAGTCTCTTCTTTTGCTGTTCCTCTACCGCATCGCTGCGTGGCTTCTAACAAATTTTCTAAATTTATTAACGTTTTTTGGCCTTTTTCTATGTTAGAAGTCTCGCAGCCTATGCCACGTTGGTTTATCTTCGTATCATCGTAAGTTTTTCATGTTTTATTATATTTGTTATTAATTAGTTATTTTTAGATTTAACCTCTTATTCAGTTACCGGTCTTCAACCATTTTTATCCCGTTTGACCTTCAAAAATTTTATTACGCATATTTTTAAAAAAGTTTTTCAACATGTTCACATCTTTAATATTTTTCTATATCGGATTTTTTCTCGCTCGTGTACAACTCTAAATTTTGACTGTAAGTTTTATTTTAAAGAAATTTTTTCGTGTTTCTATTTTTATAAAAAAGAATTTTTTCAAAATTTGTAGTTTCGACTGAAGATGAGGTAACACCTCGAAACTAGTATCGAAGTAAAATAACAATAAATTGCAAGTAAGAAGTTACTAATTTTAGTTTTCTTTATTACTGTTTACATCAAAATTACATCCTAAGTTTTTGAAACTTTGTACATTTGCGGGTGCACCATCACATGTAACATTCCATATTCTTATACCTATGTCATCTAATTTCCTAATTGCAGAATCTAAAAGTGTGGTCAACAAACTACTATTCATCTTATTCACAAAAAAATAGGCTACAGGACATTTAAATCTTTTCGTCATTGATACTACTAATATAACCAACACCTCACTCGCTAACTCCATATTTTCTGTGTTACAGTATTCAACATTGCCTACATAAGCACCTTTCACCGGTTCCCATACAAGCTGTTTTCGAATCGACATTGAGTCGAACACCAAGCAGCAGTCTTGCAACCAAATATTTTTAGTCAGTTCAATTTTCAAAAATTCTAAAACTTCAGTTAAAAAACCTGGTTCACATTTGAAACTATTCATCCAATTCCTAATTGTCGAAGGATGGGGTAAAGTAAATAATTTTCTAACATATGCATAAGCCTTTGGAGAATAATAAAACAAAGTTTTAGCAAAATCTTTCATGCTGTTACTATAACGCACACCAGAGCTTTTAACTTTTTTACTCTTACGGTCATGTAATAGCATGTGTAATGGAAACCCACTAAATTGCTCTGCCAACAGGGTTACTACATCACTAGAAGCTGGGACACGCTTTTTAATTTCTTGAAGTAATTTGTTCAAACTTTTGATTCGTACATCCCGACGTTTTACTTGTTGCTGCAAGATCTTAATTTTTCGTCTCAATTTTATCTTAGTTGGTGACTGAATAATACACTGAATACCCACATCACATTGCATTGCATTCTGAAAAATATTTTATAATTTTGTGATCTCTTCGATAACAGATAATAAAGAATTACCTGTTCAGATATCTCAGATAAGTCGGGTGTAGTACTTGTACTTGGCATGTTCTCAATATCATCAGCCTATAAAGATTAAAACAAAACTAATTCATATTTTAATTTTCAACATATTTTTAATATAAATGGTATTTACCTTTTTCTCTTTCTCAATTACTCTAGACAATAAACGTCTTTTGGATGGAGGAGGTTTTTGGAGGTGATTTGGAAATCCTTTAAACACTGAAGGAAATGCATCTTCTTTTAGCCATCCCTTGCTGGCACCTGGTCGTATTTGATAATCCGTAGCAAGAAAATGATCACTACATAGAAAACTATACTTTGTTGGCTTAAAATTTTTCCTGCGTACTTCCTTTATCCATTTTTTTTAAACTCCAGGCTTATTTAATGGAAATCTGGAACATTTATACATATATTATAATATTACCACAAACCTGAATCTAAAAATTGTAACTTACCGATGAAATTGTAAACCACTTCCTGTTGACTGTCTATTTGTACATCCGTATGCAGAACAAGAATTTACCATCTTTATAGATTTATATAATACACTAATTTAAACACAATATTAAAAAGTTTATAAAAAAATGTATTTAATGCAATCTTTATTCACTTAAACAACACGTTAACACCTATATGTTACATACGGAACTGAAGCTTCTTGCCGTTATAGGGTGGGGGAAGTCGTCGAGTCGACCGGCTCGTTTTTTAGTCCAAAGCACGCACTCCAGTAAATATAGTATACCTCGATGGTGTAAATACTAGTAACGTTACGATAAAGTGATTTATTATTTAATATTATCGTTAGTCTTTCATTTCTAAAGCAAAATTATTTGTATTAAACGGTTTTGCTTTTTTTGTTAAGTACTTTGATACACTTATAATTGAATGGTGCAACGATTCAATAAGAACAGTAAATTCATTTGGATAAAAACTATATCCCTTTTTCCTTTGGTGTCACGTAAAAATTCTTAATCGTAAAGAATTATTTTTCTGAGTGTACTTTAATAGATGTAATACCAAAAATAATTCTTTAAATATAGGTACTATTAAATACTAGGCAGATTATTTATTAATTTACATTAAAATGACTGTTTTAATAGATGTAATAGCAATAACCATTTTTTGAATCAACTATTAAATAGTAGATAAAATATGTATTAATTTCCATTAAAATGACAATTTTTGTAGATATAATAACAGTAATAATTCTTTAAATCATCAATTAATCAACTCTAAATGAATTATACTTTTCTATAAAATATCTATTAATTTATGTTGAAACAATCATTTTAACAAAAATAATTAGTTGAATTTGCCGTTTGACATCAACTAATTTCAGTTAGCTGTATTTGCTATTTTCTTTAGATAGCTAATTTTTAACGACGAACTTTAGTATTTTTAACTAAAATTTAGTTTAAAAAATCGACTACTATTTTTCGTTCAGTGCAGCTCTCTTTTTCAATAACGAGAAACCTTATTTTAATACTGAATATGTTTGGGTGAGCTGTAGGCATTTCTCAGAGTTTTAGGTTAGATATCGGCAATCTTTACTAATCTATTTATTCTAAGAACTATTTTCACAAAAATAATTAGTTAAATTAAACATCAACTAATTTCTATTTTTAATAGGAACTCTAGTTTCTTAGACTAAAAAAATTAAATGTGCATTAAATAATTGTTGATTGATTAAATTATCGTGTGTTTTCGCATCCTCATTTAGTAACGTGTAATATCCAATTACAAAAAACATAAACCATTTTGTATTCCTTAAAAATAAACCCACAATTAACAATCGTAAATTTATTGAAAGGTATAATTTACATACTTTTGCTGCTGCTGCATGTGACATTTCACCGAATAAAGGTACTTTCGTGGTAAACAATTTTTGGGTCATACACAATAAGAGTAAAAAGTATTTTCGTGTTGAGATATCCGCATCATACCAATTCAAATCATAAACGGCTTCGGTCACACTACTAGCCTATTACAAAAAAAACTTTAATATTGTTTCATTAGATAAATAATTACAAGCACCGTTGAAGTAATTCTTTGTCCGATTGTATGACATAGATACAATATTACGAAGTTGGCCATGGCCATGAAAAAACTTATTAAATCCTTTTTCTAAAAATATTACTTCAATTAATTGAATTACTAACACTCAATAATCACTCGTACCAAAGCAAATTCGGTGGCAGAGGCAGTCAAAGAAAGCAAAATGAAAATCTTTGTAGGTACAAGAAAGCTACCAAAGAATTCTTTCAGCATTTGAAAAATTCTGCAACCATAAAATAATATACAGATTCCGTCAAAAGTCAACAGCACGTATGGGATAGTCATCCTGATCTTATGATGAATGGCTGATAAAACGTTATAGATATTACCAGCCATTAGAACCAAATTCCTAAAAGCGCATAAAGCCAAGATAATTTCTGTTCAACAAGATAGTGCCAAACCGCATTCTTATGAGAGCGATGCAGAATTGCTGACCGAAGGACGAAGAGATCAATGGTGTATTAAATTCAAATGACAGCTAACAAATAGTTCTGATTTGAATGTTTTAGATCATCTTTTGCATTCTGCTGAGTTAATAGACTCGATGTTTTTGGTCATCATTGTTTCCCTTGCCTGGTTCTTGCTGTTTCGTTTTGCAGATTCTTTATAAACAAAAGACGAGAGTTCTATTTTGCCGTTGAAATACTGCTTTCTAGCACTGTCATAGCGTTGTTAACTTTAGATTTAACTTTAAAGAGGGCCGCTCACGATCGTTATATTAAAAATCACAAAAATTCGCAGTCTGCCATGTAGAGCATCGTGAATAAGCATTAACGAATAACCTCGAGTAACATAACCAATTTAATAATTTTTATATAAATAAAAACAAATAATAACTTCCAACTTGCGTTTATTATCTAAATTGGTACCGGTTTCGGAATTAGTATTCCATCTTCAGCCGAAAATGCCAATCATCGGAGCTAATAGAATAGAAGAAATTCTTGGAAAAGAAACATCAAAGAAGTTAATATGAAAACTTTAAAATTTAGAAAATATTTGAAAATGAATAAATTTTGAAACATTGAATATTGAGTCTAAACTTCCAAATAAGTTCAAAATTATTTATCCAAAGTTTCAAAACAATACGAAAACTTTAAGATCTTATAAAATGGATATGAAAAACGTGGTATTTTAAAAAATTTCTTATAAAATTGATCCAGAATATTTAAAGTTAATGGTCACAAGTAATTAGCATTAAAACAGATTAAATAAAATGAGTTAGATGTTAAAAGCGAACCAATCTGGCGGAGCGAGAAGAAGAGACTAAAAAGAAAGTGATTTAATAATTACTTTCTGGAAATTCTAGCTATCTTTGTCTAACTCAATACAAACTAACATTGATCCATCGACTCTCTGGAAGAGCGATAAACACCCCACGTCACAGGATGGATACTTCCAGTTCAGCGTCTTTTCCGAGGCTTAAATTTAACGTCTACGAAGTCGGCCGAGTTTACTTTTTTACGAATACAAAAGATACAAATATAGATTGTTACAACAACTACAACATATTCATTTTCTTAAAACATGTATAGAAGAAAAATTAAACCCCAATTTCTTAAAACATAAATACCCGAAAAATCTAACAGAGAATACAATCATTAAACTAAAACTAAGAGAAATCAGAAAAGAAATTAAAGAACGCTACAGAAAAATAAACGAATTCAATACATCACCTAGAAATCTAAGAAATATTAATAGAAATAGGAGAGTCACTAGAATTTACACTTACACGAGAATGAGAAAGAAAGGAGAGAAAATTGAACCAACTTCGAAGAAGAAGAACAAGAAGAAAGAAAATTACACCAATCTACATAGATTTCATGACCGAGTCACTAATCTCTCGAATAACACTTTTAACACCGAGGAAATGAAACTTATTAACAAAGGTATTAAATACTCCATAGTAGATGTCAATACATTAACACACTACACACAGACATTCAATTCACAATGGAACTCAAAAACGACAATAAAATAAATTTTCTTAATATCACAATAGACAAAACAAACCATGACATACAATTCGAAATAAATATATAGAAAACCCACTCAGACTGACGCTACTATTCCATACGATTCATCACGATTGAGCATTCAGATCATACATCCATAGGGCCTATAATACAAATTTGAATAAAGAAAAGTTTGACAAAGAAATTAAGATAATAAAAGACATTGCCATAAATAATACTTTTCCAGAAAATATAATAGATAAATTAATCTACAAATATCAAAATAAACAGAATTTAACTAACACCACACAACTACAAAATCAGCAGACACAAAAAATCAAAAACTACAGATCCTTTACACACCAAGGAAATATTAATAACAAAATAAAACAAACCATGAAACAATATGATATTCTAATTTCAGATAAACCAAACAAGACTATAGGCAACCTACTCATAAACAACAAAGACAAAATAAACAAATTTGATGATAATGGAGTGTATGAGCTACAGTGTGAAACTTGTCATGCAACCTACATTGGAGAGACAGGCAGAGTCCTCAAATTACGAATTAAGGAGCACAAAATTAAACATAACTTTAATTTTGTCATTTTGTTATCACAATATTCTGGATCCCATGGACATCACACCTATCCTTTTACATCCTACCCTTAACCATATAAATCCCCACCTTTCTAAACAATCCCCCTTTTTTAAGATAGTTTTAATAACTATTTTTCAAATTTAAATATAGACGTCTAATTTAAATATAGACTATAATTTAAATATTAGACGTCAGCAACATCCACGATGCTACAATAACAATAACCTCAAATCAACTTTAGCGGCAAGGTGCATGACGAAATAACGTTTCATAAAATTTAATTCTCTCTAATCGCAATTTTATAAGATTCTCAGTGTAATTTAAGGGTGAAAATACATAAAGAAATGCCCAGTAACATCTATCATAGTTATATGTATAATACATATATAGTTATATTTTTAAAATGTTAATGTAATAGTTCAAATAATGTAACGCGCTTGTTTTGAGATTAACATATAAAATGTTTTGTATTAATATAGGTATTCTCCTGATGATGCTATAATTACGTGGCGAAACCGGTAGAGAAATAAAAATAAAATATCCATTTAAAGTGTAAAAACGAATTTTATTTACATCAGTAAATAAGTTGTTTTCTTAACGAAAAGTTAAAAAAATATCACTTGGAAAAGTGAGGTTAGGACGATTATAAGATAGATAACAAACAAAAATAACACATTTCCCAGCACAGTTTTAAACTAACACTGGCGTTTTCGAAGACATCGACCGTCCCCGAGGGCACGAAATGTTTATTCTCACAAATGCGAGTACAGATCCAACTAAAGATTTTCAATCCTCAATAATTGCCATCTTAGTTGCATGAAGACGCGAAAGAAAACTCTCCGCGATTTTCGCGTGTTTTTAAGAGTTTTCTAGTGCCGTGTATTGTTAAAACGTGCTAATTCACGTAATTAGGTGTCGTGTGCACTGCACAAAGTAATGTCTGATTACTTATTTGCGGGGTAAGTCCGTTTTATCGTTGACAACCCGCATACGTTAACATAATGAATTCAGGAAGCTCAACCCCTAAGCCCGCGGAAGCATCCACAGCGCAAGCCGGATCGTCCGGAGGCGAGGACTTCATAGAAGTTCGCCACAGTAGACACCGGCATAGACCGTGTGGGGTCGAATTAAACAGGAGAAGGAAGGAGAGAGATAGGGAACAGCCGGGCCCCTCATAAGCCACCCAGGGGAGCTAGGACCAACCAACCACT